CCTTATTTCTATTCTTTTAGTTTTGGTTGTTTAGGCTCTTTCGAAATCAGCCCAGTTTTGCTTTTCTGCTTCCTCTGTGGGGGCGGGAAGGCAGTTGGCCTAATTCCCAAGTCCTTGCCCATCCCTTCCTGTTCTTCTCCTGCCTTGGATGCAGCAGGCTACTGATCAAAAGGTTGAGTATCGAGGTTGGCCTTTCCCAACCTGGGGGGCGGAGGGGAGCTGGGTGAAAAACAGGCCTTAAGGGCCACGATTGTAAGGTGGAACCTGAGGTGGGGATTCACCAAAGTGCTTTTCTCTTTCTATTGCCAACCTCCCAACCCTCTCCCACGTTTCCCAAGAGAAGAGGTTAGCGACTGGGACCCTGGGGGCTAAAGCTATGATGGTGTTCCAGGTTTTTGTTGTATTTGCATCTGTGACCTCCAGCCCTCTAGATTGAAGCATGAGGCAGAGAGTCATAAGGTCTGGGTCATGCTTGGTTGAGTTTGTGTTACCCATACTAAGGGTTTCACTCACCTTGAGAGACCACTTGGCCTTGGTTGTGATTACCCCACTTTGGGCACCAGTTGTGGGGTGTAGGGAGGCTGCCGCTCCTTAATTCTTCCCTCAGAGGAGAGGATTGAGGAAAGGTGAGCACGATGTCTCCCCTTTCTCCAGCCCCTGCCCATTGCAGGGACAATCATTCTTATTAATGTCAAATTTCATTGTACAGAATTGTGTTGGTTTCAAGACAATGATGTTTGCGACAGTGATGTTGAATGCCATGATGATGTTGAAAATAATTCCTAGAGTGGAAGGAAGCTGTAGCCCTGAGGAGTGAGCCCTGTAAACCTCCAGGAGTACTGTGTACAGCACACATAGCAAGTGCCTACCACACCAGCAGCACCTAGCTACCCTTCCCTTCACATTCAGCTGTTTCTGTATTTTTCACAACTCATAAGCAAACAAAGGTAGTTTTCTTTTGCATTTCTTTAGTTTCTTAGTAAGATGTAATATTCTTTCCAGTAATTCCTACTTTAACATCTTCTTTTAAGAACTAAGTATTAATGATTTTTTTTGGTAGAATATCTTCTCATCAGCTTTCTTTATGCAAAGACATGAGTATAAATAAGTGGTGTCCATGTCTGTTGTAAATTCTTTAAAAATACTATGATGCTACAATTGATTCAGAGAAGGGTGCACATGCGTAGAGGGAAGTATGATCAGTTTTGAAGTATGCATATCCCTGAAGCAAGTTAAGATGGTGAACACCTCTTTCGTCCCCTTAGATGGATGTATTTTCCTCATGCACACTTAGCCTTTCTTTCCAACATCTTTGTCTTCCCTGTCTCTGGCAGCCATCAGTTTCCTGTCCCTCTAGTTTGCATTTTCTAAAATCTTGCATAGGTAGAGTCACGTGGTATGTGTTCTGTTTCTGTTTGTGTGTCCATGCTCTTTTTCTCTCCCTTTCTCCCACATCCTTGTCCATGTTTACCACAGCCCTTCTGATAGATGCATGGTGTCCTTGAATTATGGTTTTGTTTTGTAACTAATGATGTCTAGCATCTTTCCTGTCATTATTTATAAGCTGTGTATCTTTTCTAGTGACACATAATTCAGATTTTGTGAACTGGGTTGTTTGCTCATTGCTAAGGGAGATTTTAAGTTTGAATGCTATTTATTATATTTACTATTTAAAAAATATTGCCTCTGTTCTGTGACTTATATTTTCATACTCTGTCTTTTCAATTTGAGGGACTTCTATCCTTTTAGTTTGGCATTTTATGGAATATGTTTTTTAAATTTGCCTGACCAAAGATAACGGTTTTTCCTAAGCTTAGGGATTTATGGTTAGTATTGGGAAAATAGTAAATAAATAATAAAGATCATAGTTTTTCATTTAGAAATTTTAGGTTTTTAAGTTTTAGACTTGAGTATGTGGTACAAACTAAATTTTGTGAGATGGCTCAAAGTTTTTCATTGTTTTTTTTGCACCTGGGTGTCCTCTTGTCCATCTTTGCTGAAGTGGCTATCTGCAGCAGCTCTGGGTAGTAGTGCTGCTTAGTTGTGAGCTTAGAATGAAAACAGTCAGCTTTTCAAGGTTTATCTCTTTACCAAGGTGACTGTCCCTTCCTTTCTTCATTTTCATGAAGTTCTTACCAGACATGGATTTAGATCATAGCAAATGTATTTTCTCTACCTATTGAGATGATCACATTGTTTTCTTTTTTAGTTGATTAGTATGTGAGTGGCATTCATTTTGAATGTTAAATCAAGAGTGTATTGGTGAGGCTACCTTGTCTGATCACAATGTCCTATCAAATTGTTGGGTTTGATTAGCTAAAATCTTACTTGTAACTTTTACATGTGTTTGCTCATGCCAGGATTTTAGTCTTTAGTTTCTGTTCTCCTGAAGGCTGTGTCTAGCTTTGGTGTCTAGATAGTACTCACTTCTTAAATAGTGAGAAAATCCTTCTTTTCAGTTTCCTTTGTGTATATATGTGTGTTGCTTGTGTGTGCAAGTACACTTGATCTAGTATAGGATTCTGCTATACTACCTAGCTGGCAAGTTCCAGTGTCTGCCATCAGTGCTAGGCTTGCAGCTATACACCATCGTGCATGCACATGGGTGCCGGGGATCCTAGCTCGGATCTTCATGCTTGCATAGCAGGCACTCTACCAACTGAGCGATTACTCAAACCCACCTTTTCAGTTTTCCAGAAAAATTTGTGTATGGTTGGAGTCATTTCTTCCTTGAGGACTCAAAATCTTTAGGAAGCTGTCTGGACTTAGGGTTTCTTTGAGTGACATAGGATTGTAGATCACTGGGTTGTTTCTCCCTCCCTTCTTCATGCTTGCTGTTTTCTCACTTGTATTGTTTGTAATAAGGTGTCTCCTCTCATCCTTAATACATTTGTTCCTCTCTATGCAATACATTATCTCTAGTTTTTCTTTTCACACGTTTTGGGCAGGTTGGTCAATAATAGTCCTTCCTGTGATCTTTAGCTTTTTGTGTGTTATAGATTTTTACATGCTTGGGTCTGTGTATTTACAGTTTTGTCACAGTGTTTGAGCTATTATTTCTTAAGCATTCCTGTCTTTCCATCTCTCCTCTCCAGATATTGGAATGAGATTCTAAGTTTTCCTAGAGCACAGCTTATGATGCTTTATTTGCATTTTCTATGTTTTGTTTTTATTTAACTCCACTTCTCAGTTTCATTTTGGGTAGTAGTATCTATTGCTATGCCTTAAACATTGCTAATATATTCTTCCAGCATGCCTAGTAAGCAATTAATTAGCATGAGTAAATAACCCATATTCTTATCTATTATTTCTAACACCTAGGTCACTTTTCCTTATTTTCTTCATTGTGGATCATATCTTACAACTTTTTTTTGCATGCTCAATAATTGTAATTAAGGAGAAACAGTGGAGACTCTCTTTTCTCCATTGTACCCAGAGTCAGGTCCCTGCCTCCTGCATCATCGTTATCCATCTCACTGCTGTGGTTTCTTGTCTCTTTGGGATCATTTTTGTTGTTGTTTGCTTGTTGTTGTTTAAAGATTCACTTGTTTTTATTTTATGTGTATGGGTTTTTTTGCCTGTGGTATGTCTGAATACCACTCACAAGCCTGGTTCCTGTGTAGGCCAGAAAGGGGCATCCTATCCTGTGAACTGGAGTTACAGACAGTTTTAAGTTTCCACACCCTTGCTGGGAATCCCACCCAAATCTCTGGAAGACCACCTAGTGCACTAAAACTCTGAGCCATCTCTCCATCCTCATTGGGGTCTATTTTTAGGGGATGGATATCTGATGTCTTTGAAAGATCTGATTATCTGTTTCATCCTTACATTTTATTGTTTTATGTAAAAGGACAATTTTGATCTCTGCTACTCTGCCCTGATGAAAAGTGAAAATTGTGCCTTTTAATTTTACTCAATTTCCTTTTTTTTTTTTTTTTAAAGTGGAAAGTTTTGTCAGTCTTCAACTCAATTGTTTCTATTGATCATATTACTTGGAAAAACATCTGTTCTTAAAAGCTTATATAAATAATGGTCAATTTTTACCCAAAGATCCTAATTTTCTTTTTTTATTCAAACACAGTCACCTTTCTATATCTGCATTTTATTTCCTCAAAATGAGTATTCTCATCATGTGGTGGTACATGCCTTTAATTCCAGTACTTGGAAGGCAGAGGCAGGCATGTCTTTGTGAGTTCAAGGCCAGCCAGGTCTGCATAATAAGTTTTAGGCCAGCTATGGCTACATAGTGAGACCCTATCTCAAAATAACAACAGTAATACGTTTTACATTTCAGGTTTTTTTTTTAGACAGCTGTCATGTAGACTAGGCTGGCTTTGGATTCCCATCCCCCTGCTTCCGGCCCCAAGTACTAGGATTTACAGGCTTGTACTACCATACCTTGCTTCAAAAATTTTTTTAAGTTTCATCTATAGCTGAGCATGTTGCTTGCTCATACTTGGGAGAGTGAGGCAGGTACATTACTTTGAGTTCCAGGCCAGGCTGGGCTACAAAGTAAAAGCCTGTCTCAAACAAATGAATTAATTGACTGTAATGATTAAAGCTACATCTATACAGAACACGTAGCGACTTGTTTATTTTCATTATTTCCTAAACAAGCAGAGTGACTAATCTTTTGATATTGTGACAACTCTTTCATCTATAAATGTGTTTGACCAAATTCATAGCGAGGCCTCAGGTTGAATATACCCATATACAGGTGTCTATTTATATAGCATTTACATTATACCCAAATATTAGAATAATATTGGGCCCCAAGTCCAGTTCAATATATTTGGTAAAATACTGTCCATAAAATAATGAACAAAAAATTCCTAACAGCTTAAGACCCAGTACCTAATAACTTAACACCCATTTCGTACCACTTACTTAGTTATAAATAGGGAAACATTTTTCAAAAACTCTTATAATTCATATTTTAATATATATTAACATAATATCTCAACTACTTTCTAATTATTCTTTGCTCTTGAATATTTTAGGAAAGTTACTGTTCAAGTCACATACATCATAATGCGGAATTCTTCATCAGTACCACAAAAAGATCAAGGTAAGAAAAGCCATGCTGCAGAAGATGCCATTATATACATTATAAAGTAGCAATTTTAGTTGATATATTTATGCCTCTACCCTCCAGTCATGAGGTGACATATTTTCTAGAATTAAAAGCAAAATCTCCAATTACATATAAAAGCTCATTTTTTTGATAAATTAATCTAGTAGGTTATGGATTCCCAGGTTGCCAGGACATTATAAGGATCTGTCTCCTTTCCTAGGCTGAAAGGCCCCTAGAGCAAGCCAACTCATTCCAGGCAGAACTGAGAGGCCAGCCCACCACTGCCAGTTAGCTGGAGGTAATAGATGTCACTGGGATTATGGATGTGACTTCACTGGCAGAATGACCCAGGTATCTTAAATATTGCATTCATGCCTCATACATATTTATATTCAGATACATCTAAGGACACACATATGTAGAGATGATTTGCCTGTTTTCTCTCATGCCTTTCAAAATGAAATCTATAAGAAAAAAATATTATTTTCCTTCATGAAACCTATAAAAACATATACTATAATTATTAAATTGCTTCTTTTATTTTTGAGATTATAAAATAATTACATCATTTTTCCCTTCCTTTCTTCCTTCCAAAGTCTTCTATATACCCCTTCTTGATCTCTTTCAAATTCATGGCCTCTGTTTCATCAATCAATATATGTATATATTCCTAAATATAACATAAGTCTGTAGGATATTATTGGATATGTGAATTGAGGGCTGACCACTTGGTGTTGGATAATTGGTCTGCTTTTCCATGGGGAAAACTGTATCTCCCACTTTGGCATGTCTGGTGCTTTTGTCCTTGTTTAGCTCATGTTTACATGGTCATGTTGATAAGACTTTGACGATTACTAAAAGACACAGTCTCATAGACAATTACTAGAAGACAGTCTCACAATAACTCCCATATACTTTGGTTCTTACATCTTTCCATCCCCTCTTCTTACACAGTGCTGCTGTGTTCCCTGAAGCTTGGGGGGCAGGAATGTTTTGTAGATGTATCCACTGGAACTGGGTTCCATAACTCTTGCATTTTGATTGACTATAGTTTTGTGTAGCAGGCTTTGTCTAAGTTTCCTTGATGAGGAGTGAAGACTAAACTTATCTTTGAATATTAAGACAAATGCTTAGATTGATACTAGAGATCATAGTGATTTAATAAAGTGGTGGTTGTAGGTTCCCTTCTAAAAACTGTGATTTCACTAGCACTAAGTACTTAGCTAGTAATAGGCATGGTTTCTCTCTTGTTGAGCAGATCTTACGTCCAATTTGACAACTGTTGACTAATGCCAAGGTATTCATGCCACTACTGCACCCATTGTAACATGCTGGACATGGATGTGGTTTGTAAGTGTCATAGTTGTGTAGCACTATTGGTTGCTTCTCTCATTGGGAAACTTGCATACCTTCTGATACCATGAGAGCTAGTCCTTGGGGAGGAAGCATTCAAGTCAGTTACAGCTCAGAGGTCTCTGAGCCCTGTTCTCAAGTACATGGTATCTTCAACAATCTAGAATTACCTTCTACCTCTGGGGATGGCAACCAAGGGCAAAAGCAACTAGCTGTGTGTTTGAGGAATCTGTTGGACAACCCTGGCTAACAACTCAAAAATAAGTGCATCTCATGTGTGGTATTGGATTTTTGTTAGGTGGTCTTTAGCTTTTGAAGGGAGCATTGTCAAGCCAGATGAGTCAAGTTCATTAAAACTTTATGTGTATATTTATAGAAAGAATTACATGTATTATAGGTTTGTAAGTAAATAGTTAATAGTATGATTCCTTATGACTTATGTGATTCCTTATTCCCCAGACATGCTTGTTGTTTTTCTGAGACTATTAAGATGATCGTGTGATTTTTGTCTTTAAGTACATTTATTTAGCTTATTACATTTATAGACTTGTATATGTTGAAACATCCCTAAATTTCATGGATAAAACCAACTTAGTAATGGTGTATAATCTTTTTGATATATGTGTGTATTCACTTGTAAGTATTTTATTGAGCATTATCAAGTCTATGTTCACCATTGTCATTGTTGGTTTCATTTTCGGGTGTGTCTTGACCTGATTGTATGTCTGTCTGTCTGTTTTTAGAGTGATATTTGCTATGTAGAAGAGTTTCTGTTTTTTGTTTGATTGGTTTTTTATTTTGTTTTGTTAATAGTTTAAGGCCTGGCTATAGGTCTTCCTTGAAAGTCTGGTAGAATTCTGCTGTGAATCTATCTAGTCCTGGACTTATAGCTGGAATGCTTTTTATTACTATTTTAATCTCCTCATTTGTTTTGGGTATGTTTAGGTTGTTAACTTCTTGGTGGGTTTTGCTGAATCTGTAAGTTCATCCATTTTTAAAGATTGTTTTAGGTTAATGGAGAATAGGTTTTTAAAGTATTCCCATATAATATTCTGAATATCTTTGGTGTCTATTGTAATGTTTCCCTGTTCATTTCTGGTTCTCTTTCTTTTGTTTAATTGGGCCAAGGTCCTGTCAATCTTGTTTATTTTCACAAAGAACCAGATTTGAGATTCATTGATTCATTGTATTATTTTCTTTGTTTCTACTTCATTAATTTCTGCTCTGATTTTTATTATTTCATTGCTGTTCACTGGGGTTTAAATTTGGCTTGTTTTTTGTTTTTCAAGTTTTTGAGTTATACTGTCAAACCATTTATTTGTGCTTTTTTTGTTTGTTTGTTTGCTTTGTTTTGGGGGGTGTTTTTTGTTTTGTGTTGGTTTTTTTTTGTTTTGTAGACACTTAGAGCTATAAATTTCCCTCATAGTACTGCTTCGGTGATTTTGCTGTGTTGTGTTTTTATTTTCATTTAGTTCCAGGAAATTTTTAATTTCTTTCTTGATTTCTTTGGCCCATTCATCATTCAGTAATGAACTGTTTAATCTCCATGAGTTTGTCTATTTGTTAGAGATGTGTTTGTAATTTCCTTGAGACAAGTAGGTAGCCAGGCCCTGACAACTGAGGACCTCCAGCTACCAGGCTCTGCCCACAGAATCCTCTAATGGCCATAGTAGCCAGAACTAGCCCTCAAGACATAGGCAAACTAGTTCCACCCTCCAGTGTAAACAGCCCAAGATCAGGTCACAAAGCCACCAATTCCTGAGCTTGCCCCAAGAAACTCTAAATTAACCCTGCCCCCTGTTGAGTTCTTTGCTGCTTCTTCCTGGAGCAGAGGCAGACACCCTCTTGTGTCTTTCCCAATAAATCTATGTGCTACTCCCTGGCTCCTGACTGCCAGGATACCTTTTCCCTCAGAGCTGTACCACTTACATTGTACATTGGATAGGCTCTTCTGGTGCCTGTGCTTCCCCTTGGGGTCTGAGCCACACTGGGATCCCATCCTTCATCTCTAGTCCACCTGAAACAGACTCACATTCTGTCTTGCTGACTGCTTGACACCCCATCCACCAGCAGCAATCCTGAAGTTTCCTTAGGCCCAACTTGGCTATTGTACCCTTTCCTGCCCTCTTCTCCCACCTTCCCTTCAAAGCTGCCTGTAATTCCACAGCTTCTCTAGACTCCCATGGCTTTTATGAATCCATTCTCTAGCCCTTTCCTGTGGTTAAAACCTCATTCCAGAGCACAGTTTTTCATCAACTTCTGGGAAGCCTTCCAGTCTCATTGAAACCCCGGGGGCCAGGTGCTGAGTCTCCTCTTCAGGCTATTAGCCCTTATCACATTGAGTGAGGTGACAACCCTCACAAAAGCTTGGTACTCATTTGGTCCTCCCTGAGAACTGGTACACCATGCCTACAGGCTGCTGATATTTTTTTTCTCCCCACCCCATCTCTCATCCACTTGGGATACCTTTTAGAAAACCTCAAGCCTGTATACTTGGCACCCAACCTAAAGGGCCCTAAATTTGTTTGCCTTTGCAATCAAATTTGACCTTAATATCCCTCAGATAATCAATCCAAATGACCCCCTAGGTCCCAATATTATTCATGACCTTGACAAATCCTGCAAGAGATTCAAGCTTTCTCTTTTTTTCTGCTCCAAGCCATTTTTTAATTGGTAGCACAGCCACCACCCCTCCCCAGCCACACAAAGATACACTGTGTAAATAAATGCCCTGTCTTTTAAGTTACCCTTGGTGGATCTGTAAGTTGGTTGCATAGTGGGAACCCAAAGCTGAACCTAGCAAAAAGAGGTAGAAAGTAAAGGAGTAGGCCAGCTACAATGTGCACTATCCTGCACACACTCCTCCCTGGTTGGTGCATCTCTCAGCTCCCTCTTGTAGCACCCTCTGTCTGTAGCCAAGGCTCAAAAAATTTCCTATCTTTAAGCCTTCTTTGTTCTCAACTTACTGGATTCAATTTTACAAGGATTCAGGTATCTTTTAAGTGTCTTTTAACTGAGTGGCATTAGACTGTTGTTATACGGTGTCCCACTTCAGTTAAAAGCTGACTGTGGAGTTGAGGTATGTTTCCCCCTCCTGTAGACCCAAGCATGCTTTTTAAAATGTTTCCTCTAAAATCTCTGTCCCATATCAGGCAAGCCACCTGACTATGTGACAAAGAAAAAAAAAACAATATAAAAGGACAGACTATTCCCAGTGGGGACTATTCTACTCATCTCATATTCTCTTGGCTTTAGTTTAACTCTCTAAAACTTTTGCTAAGGTATAAATCTTATCTCAAGATTTGTAAGACTATATTATATAAACTCTCTGTACCTCAAGATCTGTAGGCATTTTTGGATATGATTAAAAATCTGTAAAATCTGTAACAAAAGGATTAACTTACAACTTGTCACACCAGGGTTCATAGTTAAAAAATCTAAGGAAATAAGTGGCTTACTACCATCTTAGCAGCTGTACCCCCATCAGGATAGGCAGCCTTGTGACAGACAGCCGTCTTTGTTAGGGTTGGAAAAGATGGATTTTGCCATGTGACTTCACTTCTTTCTTGATTAAAAGTGACCACTTGGTATAAGCCAACCAAGAAAAATGGAAAAAAACAAAAACAAAAACAAACAAACAA